CCTCGGAAGTACTTTGTCTGATTTAAGGTAGCCCATCTACTTATATTGTAATGGCTGTGATTTAGTAAGGATTTCAATTTAAGTGTGTCTTTTGAAACCACGACTCTCATAGCAGTGGAGCATTTGGGAAATTCAGTACATCATCTGGACTCACCGATGATATTGTATTGTATGTGTTAATATAATATATATAATGTACCACACCACAAATATATATAAAATATGTATGTAATAAATAGATCTGTCTCTTTATATAAAGGTATGTGTATCATATAGAGAATTCGAATTCATATATACCCCCACGCACACACCATAAAACCACACATATACATACACACACAGAGTTTTTGAGTCCTTTTTGTACTTATTCATCATTGATTCCAACCCTTTCAGGTGTGGGCAGTAAGGAGTAGGTGAACCGCACCCATTTCTGTTTTACAACACATGACTGTTGAGAGGCAGGAAAATCTGCCCATACTTTTCTGACTCACTTTAATCCCCCAGTACAAAGGCCACTTGTATTCTATAAGTGTATTAAACAAAATAAAAAAAAAAAAAACCAATACTATCTTATTTTCCTGAAAACATCAACCTATCTGATTGTCAGCCAAGAGCTAGAGGTGTGGTACAAATCCTGGGGGTAGGTGGGCTGGGAGAAAGAGTGAGGAGGAGGTGGATACTGATGATATATCATGCGTACCACTTCATTGAGAAAAAAAACAAGTCAGGAAGCCATGACAGCTGTCCCCACACCCTATAGGTTCATCACGTAAATATGCAATGAATATGGTGCTAAATGCTCAGATAACCAAAGCTGAGACTTTTCTATAAGACCGTCGTGATGACATCCAATTTCTGACAGTTTATTACTAGGCTCCCACGGGAGATAAAAGAGAATATTGGTCCTATATATTGAATTGAGAATAGGAGCGTCTTATTGCCATTGATTTGACCAGAACTTCCCTAAGTAAGCCAATAGTCTGGAAGCACAGAAAAGATAGGGAAGGGGAAAAGATGGATACGTAAGATATCCCATCCAAATACTGGATAAATCAGGGTAAGCTATTTATATTCTCCTAACTTGGGCTAGAATCCGAAAGTACAGGTTTTCCCATCTTCCTGATCTGGTGAAGCCATCTTCAGCATGTCATTCTTCTCTGTTGAGCCAGTTTCTAGCTTTTGCTCCTGTAAGCGGTTTTCCCCCATTCTTCACAGGGGGTAGCGTTACACATTATTACACCAGCGTTGCTGTCTTTGGATTAGCCACACGTTGATGGGACTGGAAGATGTTGATCACTCTTCTTTCCTTGATCAATGTGCCATGTTTCCGCTTGCCTGTGAGTGAGATCGACTTGATGATGCTCCAGGGTTTAGAGACTCATCTGAAAAGCTCTGTTCAAAAACAGAGATACTCAGTGGAAATGGTAATCCCAAACTGGCTGACCCTTCCTAAACATGTTCATAGGCTGCGTGAAGAGCTGTTTCAGTCTTCAAAAAACCAGAAACTAAAGCTGTGTTTACCTAGCCATTCTGATACGTCCTGAGAACTTATGGTGACAAAGATGGACCAACTATAATTCAATGGCAAAATGACACAGCTACTGTCACAAAACTTTGCTTCTCTAATACTTTTTAGGGATCCAAAATGGTAGATCTATGATGGCCCATTTACAGATGAGGAAACTGAGGCTCAGAAAGATTAAAGTAACTTGCTCAGGACACCTATAGAAAGTCATAGGGCTGGATCCATTCCTGGTTGGTCAGCCTCTAAAGTCCGATGTAGATGTGCAGTGAAAGGAAGAAACTAAGAGATCTATTGGCAATTCACGGAACTTCACTAAAAAACAATCACCTGTTTTTCTTTTTTGTTGTTGTTTGGTTTTTATTTTTGTTGTTGTTGTTGTTAGAGACATGGTTCTACTCTGCTGCCCGGCGGTGATCATAACTCACGTAGCCTCAAGCCCTGGCTCAAGAGATCCCTGCTCAGCCTCCTGAGTTAGCTGGGATTATAGGCACACACCACCACCACATCTAGTCTTTTTCTTTTACCCAGAAATGTGATCTGTAGTTAATGTTATAAACTGTATAACTCTGCAGTGTATTACTGGCTTCAATGAATGTTATTAGGAATAATAACAGCTTTTGATTACTAAGTGGTTGGACATGCTACATCCTCTGTTTTCCTTTAGACAAAGTAATGACAAAAGTAAAAGGACTTTTAATAATCCTCATAACAACCCTGCAAGGTGATCCAATTTCTTCAATTTTAGGATAGAAAACTAGGGCATAGGAGAGCTAAGTAATTTGCCCAAGTTCACTGAACTGGTAAGTGGCAGCGCAGATTCAAAGTTAAATCATTTGGCTCAAAGTCTGTACACATGGGGGTTACTATGAAATGTTTCTCAAGAACCTGAAATATACTTGGAGACTTTCTGTTTTTTTTTTTTTTTTTTTTTTGAGACAGAGTCTCGCTTTGTTGCCCAGGCTAGAGTGAGTGCCTGGCGTCGCCTAGCTCACAGCAACCTCAAACTCCTGGGCTCGAGTGGATCCTTCTGCTCAGCCTCCCGGTGAGCTGGGACTACAGGCATGCGCCACCCATGCCCGGCTAACTTTTTATAATATATATCAGTTGGCCAATTAATTTCTTTCTATTTATAGTTGAGACGGTGTCTCGCTCCTTCAGGCTGGTTTTTGAACTCCTGCCTTAGCAATCCGCCCGCCTCAGGCCTCCCAAGAGCTAGGATTACAGGCGTGAGCCACAGCGCCCAGCCTTTCTGTTTTTTTAAAAAAAAAAAAAAAAAGAACCTGGAAATAAGATGAAACAAGTAAACATTCACACAATGGATAGAATTAGCCACCGGAAGGAGTCAACAGAGAAATCAAAACACTACAAATAAGTGACTTAAGAATTTAAGAACCTATAAACTCTCATGGCCTAGGAATAATCCCAGGAAGACAGGAGTACAATGTAAGCAGATTTAATAAACTGGAACAATTAATTTTCTCATACTCTGGAAAAAGGGTGACTAAATAGGAAAAGGAAAGTCAATAAGGAAGTTAGTAGTATCTCTGTCCAGGGAAGATGCCTTAGCTAAAAACAAAGTGAACATGAGAATTTCCTTGGCCAGGTTACCCCTAGAGTAGATAAGAGTATCGGCAGCAATCTTAGCTAAGAGAAATTTAATATCACCTACTATCCCTTGTTTTCTCTTTCTTTCCTCATCTGTAAAATAGAGAGAATAAGAGTACTATACTTCATAGGTTCCTGTAAGCATTCAAGTGAGACAGTTCATGTAGAACACTTAGAACATGCTGTGTTTGGCACACTGTAAGAACACAATAAATGCTAGCTAATATCATTGTTCTGATTTCATGCCCTCAGGCAAACTTCTGATACCATGGCATCTCTTACATCTTGTCCTTAGAGAAAGAAAGTTCTAGCAGTAATGGTTAAGAGTATGTGCAAAAAGTCAGCCAGACCTGAGTCTGACTCTTGCCTCTAACAATTAGAGATGCTAAACTGTATTGCAATCAGCACACATAGGGCTTTGGAACCAGTTAGCTCTGGCTAGAATGTCAACTCTCATAGTAACTTGATGGATAATTTGGGGCAAGATATTTCATTCTTCTGAGCCTCAGTTTCCTCCTGTTTAAAATAGGGAATAATAAATACCTCACAGGGTATTTATGTGGTTTCAATAAACTCATGTGTTTATAAGAGTGACTGGAGGTTGGTTTGAAGGTAGTTATCTCAGTTGATTGTTCACAAACAGTTATAGATAGAATTCCTTGTTCTACTCTTTCCCCTCTTCTCACTATTGCACTTGACTAGTAAAAAAAAAGAGTGATTGTAGAAGAATAAGTGTACAGTATATTACAATGATTATTTCTTCTGATCATAAATCAATACTTTTACTCCCTTCCTTTTCCCTTCCCCTTAGCCATATCCACATATATGTGATCAGACCCTGAATCTGATGAGCCATGAATTCACCAAGTCTGTACCATCTTATTGGAAACTACCTGAGTGGACTATCTTTCTTCCTAGGTCCAATCCTTTTTACCTTACTGAGCAGCTGCTAGAAAAAGCTGAGAAGCTTTGAAAAAAGGACAAAGTCACTGCCCTCTAGCTTTGGAGTGCATTATAAAATGCTTTGTGTGGGGGGCTTACCATTAGAGTTCCATTTTTGGCTCAAAATAACATTAGAGCAAATTTATCTTCTTTGAGAAAACATTAGATAATGGGGGTTAACATGGATATGGTGAGGACTGGCTGTATACAGGAGAGCAAATTTAGGATTCAGAACTGATGACAAAATTGCCCAGGATTACAGACTACATGTGAAATGTCTAGAGGATGCTTGGTAGAAAGTAGGTACTCAAGAAATGGATGTTGCTATACTATGAGGAGCCCAGGGTTTGAGTTCAGTATAAGAATGTGGATCACTACAAGACTAGGTCCACATAGTCTGTATTTGGGGTGGGGGAAGGGGGTGTGTCTAATAAGGACCAGTGGGAACCATAATATAATTCAAGGCATACATTACAAGAAAATTTAAGACCTTGCTGAGTCATGAAGAATAAGCAAAATGGTAATGCTCCCCCTGCTCATATTCAGCAAAGGCAAAAGCCCAATTTTCCAAGCATCCCTGGTGGCTCCTCAGAAACTCAGGCAGGCTGTAGGCAATCTCACTGTTAGTTTCACTCTGGCCCCTTTCTGGCTGCATATAGCATATACTATGCTAAGTGTGGGTCTTTGGGACACAGCACCTGGTTTCTATCTTGCAGCCTCACTGAGGGAAAAGGATAAACCTCTGCAGCCCTGTGGGCTAACCCTCACTAGACCACTAGATAGTGGGGGAATTAAATAAAATGCCTAGAGAAACTGTGAAGCTCCCTTGAGCAGGTCAAGTTTCCATGCCGGATCTGATCTCTTGCAATTTAGCTGAAAAGGCAAGAAGCTTCAAACAGAAGTGAGATAATCTCACAAAAGTACTTACTTGTTTAATTCCTTTTTTGTGTCCTTTGGATCCTCTACTAGTCTGTTCTTTTCCATGCCTTTAGCAAGTGGGGAAAAAAAAAGTGATCATGAGAAACATATAAAGCCTACAACCTCATTTTCACTTGGTGAACTACGCATCTCCTCTAGAAAGTTTGACCCTCTTAAGTTAGATGTCCCTCCTCTATATTACCACTGTAAACTTCTATCTCTGTCATTTCTACATTATACTGAACTGAATTGTTCTGTGTTCCATGTACTCCTCTAGGGCAGAAATTCTTTTGTCAAGGCAGGGCATTTTTTTTTATATGTTTGCTAAACTAAACTGAAAACTGGCTTTAAAAAGGGAAAGTTAGTTAATGCCTCTTACCTAATAGAAGGATTCAATGGCCGGGCATTTTCCCAAGGGTACCTTGATTGATACTAGTTAATACCAACCTGTTTGAATACATACCCCTTTCCTGGCCCACCGACAGAAACCACTTGCATGCCAAATGATCCTCGGCCCCTAGAGGATCTGCTGCCTGCCCACTGGCCCACAACCATCCCAGCAATCTCTAGTTTTCCTCCTTGAGGTGGGATTGGATGGAGACCTGGCAAGAGAGGAAGAATATCCGTAATGAATGGTAAGTACAAGGTAAGACAAGAGGTGGAACAAAAGATCCTACAGCCTACCTACGTTTCTTATTTTCATTTCTCTCTGTTAAAAGATTCTGTAATAACAAAGGAGTTATGATTGAAGTGAATTTAGGGGGAGGGATTTGAAGATCCATACATATTTACTTTAGCAAATGGGGTGTAGGTGATTAATTGTTAACTACCAACAATTGCATATAGTAGAAATTCAATATTTGTCAAGATAATAAATGTCTGAAAATCTAGTTACTAGAAAATTATAGGCCAAAACCACTTTTGATACTAATACACATCACTATACACTGTATGATTAGCCAAACAACCAAACTAAACCAAAATTAATGAAATTAATAGTAATTTATGACTGGGTGCGGTGGCTCACACCTGTAATCCTAGCACTCTGGGAGGCCAAGGCGGGTGGATTGCTCGAGGTCAGGAATTTGAAACCAGCCTGAGCAAGAGTGAGACCCTGTCTCTACTAAAAATAGAAAGAAATTAATCGGCCAACTAATATATATAGAAAAAATTAGCTGGGCATGGTGGCGCATGCCTGTAGTCCCAGCCACTCGGGAGGCTGAGGCAGGAGGATCACTTGAGCCCAGGAGTTTGAGGTTGCTGTGAGCTAGGCTGACTCCACAGCACTCTAGCCCGGGCAACAGAGTGAGATTCTGTCTCAAAAAGAAAAAAAAAAATAGTAATTTATAATTAAAAAGCAAGAATAGGTAGAAACCAGAACCAATTCAAGACACATGGCATAAACAGAGGAAATTCCAACTATGTGTGTAAGCTTACAAGCACAGTCAAGTTTTTGTAATTAAGCACAAAAATAAGTGTTCATAGAATAAGGAATTCTAATAGGCCTTTAATTTTAGTTTATGGAAAGAAACCAAATGTTAATAATCCTTAACTCATTTAGTGGGTTGTTAGTAAAGAACTCTTCGCTTATATAAAAATTTAGAGTCCAAGGAACTACTAGCGTGATAGCTATTCCTAAGAGGGACAAGAAACACTTGCATTTGGGGATTCTTCTGTGGCCTTTCAGAAGGCAACGGCTCCTTATGAACCAGCAGTAACTAGAAACAAAGTATTACTGGTAGCTGGGGCATTGTTGACCTCTCGAAAACTTGGCCTTAATTAAAGCTGTCTTCTGAGACTTACATGATAAAATCAACACACAAAGAATCAGAGAAGGGATCTATAAAGTCATCTAAAAGAGAGGCCAGGCGCGGTGGCTCACGCCTGTAATCCTAGCCCTCTGGGAGGCCGAGGCAGGAGGATCACTCAAGGTCAGGAGTTTGAAACCAGCCTGAGCAAGAGCGAGACCCCGTCTCTGCTAAAAATAGAAATTAATTGGCCAACTAATATATACAGAAAAAAAAATTAGCCTGGCATGGTGGCACATGCCTGTAGTCCCCAGCTACTTGGGAGGCTGAGGCAGAAGGATTGCTTGAGCCCAGGAGTTTGAGGTTGCTGTTAGCTAGGCTGACGCCATGGCACTCTAGCCCAGACAACAGAGTGAGACTCTGTCTCATAAATAAATAAATAAATAAATAAATAAATAAATAAATAAATAAAGTAATAAATGGGATGAAATGACTGGCTCCCCAGATGTAAGACTTGATCTTTACTTTACTGAACAGGGAGTTACCAGAGCAGACTTTCATGCTGCTCATCTAAGCTCAGCCTTCAGCTAAACACCCACACGGAATTTTTTTTTTTTTTTTTGAGACAGAGTCTCGCTTTCTTGCCTAGGCTAGAGTGAGTGCCGTGGTGTCAGCCTCGCTCACAGCAACCTCAAACTCCTGGGCTCAAGCGATCCTCCTGCCTCAGCCTCCCGAGTAGCTGGGACTACAGGCATGCGCCACCATGCCCGGCTGATTTTTATATTATATACATTAGTTGGCCAATTAATTTCTTTCTATTTTTATGGTAGAGACGGGGTCTCGCTCAGGCTGGTTTTGAACTCCTGACCTCGAGCAATCCGCCCGCCTCAGCCTCCCAGAGTGCTAGGATTACAGGCGTGAGCCACCGCGCCCGGCCCCACACGGAATTTTATGACATTAAAAAACTAACTTCAACTTCTAGCTTTATTATTTTTAAAGCAAGGAGCAATAGACAACAAACCTTCAACCACAGCAATGACACCCTCACCTAATCATAAAATCTTGCTATTTCATGTTAAAATGTCCCCATTAAAATATCCTGTTTCACCAGGGACACATTGTTTGAATTATCAGGATAAGTATCTGAACTACCTAAGCATGACTATCTATTCATGGTTAAGTGGTAGCTCAGATATCACCATAATTTATACATATGTATGTATGTATGTATATGTATGTATGTGTATATTTGTTTTCCTCGCTAAACTGCAATCCTCTTGGGGGCATGGTCAGTGACTTATTTCTCTCCATGCTTTTAGAGGTGAAGGAAAGGAAATGTGTCAGGTCTACCCCCAGAGTGGAAATGGGTACATCAAGCTATCGTTATCTGCCAACACTGGCCATTTACTCCATTGCTCTTCCTGCAAGCTCCTGTGTACATCTGCCTATAGGGGAAGGAATGAACTAACAGCAATCATGAAGATCCAGTTCATATGAGTTATCATTCTCAAAAGTAATAAAGTGGCTTCTGGTTTCACCATCTATCACTTCATGAATTTGGTTGGTGAGAGTCAAATCCCTGAGGACCAACCAACTCTATGGAGAGTGGTCTGGGAAGTCAAAATGGATATAAACTGCTCTTTATACTACCACTACACAACACAGAAAGTATTAATAAATGATTATAAGATATATATGAAACTGTTGCTTCTGTATCTGGCAATAATTACTGGATTGGTTATTATGAAATAAATTGAGGATGGCAAATACCTTTTTCTTAGGTACTGACCTGCAAAGCCCCGGCTCCTTCCTTGAGGAGGAGGTGGCATAGAGCCCATGGCTCGGGAATAAAGTGAAACAGGGTAGATAGAGGGCACCATGGGAGGCACAAAAGTAGGTGATGGAAGTAGAGCAGAAGGCGGTGGATGATTCATGTTGACTCCTTCAAGGATACTCTGTCTCATCTTTTCCACTTTGGTTGCCAGGTCAGCCTTCAAATGAGGAGCACAATAATAATAGCAGCTGCCACTTTTTGAACTTCTCCCATGTTTCAGGCACAGTATTGTATTGAACAATCTAGGTACAGTCTCATAATTCTATTTCCATTAAGAAATTGAGGCCTATAATTAAATGGTTTAAGGCTATACACTCAGGAAGCTTATCTGGCACTAAAATCCCCACTCTCCACATGACATCATATCAGTTCTGACCAAGGCTTGTGAGGTGCATTGACTAAGTCAAGGAAGATAAATATAACAATAAGGATTTACTAATGGTCTATTACATGGCTAGCATTGGTCTAGGTCATTTTTTTTAAAGGAGAGGTAACAGAATTAGGTAAAAGAGAACAAAAATCTGACAAATAAAAAGCCTTTTAACTTTCTTCCCCATACTCAGGATCAGAGACTCTGAGCTCTGTCCAGGAAAAGCCCATACCTCTAGTCTAGAGGTCACCAAACTTCTGAAAAGGGCCAGACAGTAAATATTTAAGGCTTTGTAGGCCATAATATCTGTCACAATTATTCCACTCTGCCATTGTAGCATGAACATAGTCATACACAGTATGTTAGTGAATGAATGTGGCTGTGTTCCAATAAAATGTTATTTACAAAAACAGGGGGTGCATTGTATTACAAAAAACAGGAGGTAGGCTGGGTAGTCTGCCGACCTCTGTTCTAGTCCCTCAGTTCATTCCCCAGAAAATGGATAAAGGAGTAAGATTTCCTTTCACCTGCCTTTACCCAAGGTTTCATTTTAAAAAGTCCTCTGCCTCTACTCTGTCATCTACTTTACTATCCTCTTCTAGTTCCAAATATAGTCCTTTACAAAAAAAATCATCATTTGTAAAAGAGATTTACAGTTTTTGTAAATAAAGGAAATGAATTCCTTTACTCTTAAGTTGGAGAAAAGGCGTATAGTATATCTGAGTATTCCATGGGGAAGAAATACTTGGAGTAACAAATGGGGTAAGAAAACTTCAAGTTCATGAAAAAACTTTCCAACATATGATTTTATAACATGTACACACCAGACTATGGGCCTTTGGTACCACTGTCGACTAAGTTAGGTTCAGGTCAGACACTTTTTCCTACTTTTGCTCCCTCCCTCCCCAATGTCTCTGCTCTTTTCCCCACCCTGCTCATTCATCTCCACAGCAAATCAGAGCTGGCCCTTAGCAGCTACCTAACATGCTGGTACCTGGCCATCACAGAGCTCAATCAGGGATACTCGCTCTTGGCCTGCTTTAATTAGCTTGCTCTGGAACAGCTTGCCATCGAAGTAAATCCAGGGGCAGCAGTGCTCCCAAGGGACTGGTTGGCCACAGGCATCATTAGCGAACAGGGCTGTGTCGACTCCACTCATGAAGAGGGCAGCAAGCTGGATCCCTCGGGCATCCAGTTTCTCAATCTGAAACCATCACAGAGGAAAAATTACTACTAAAAAACTATTAATAACATTTACTTTTATTCCTGTCATGATGATTCTTCCAGTTAAATTTGAATATGTTGCCCTTCAATATAGACATTTGAGTGCACAAGCAGCTTTTATCCATGTCTTTTCATTAGATGATTTGAAAGGTACTCACCACAGCATTAAAAAGATACTAACTTGAGATACCTTTAATTTTTGCCTATCGAATTAGAAAAAATTTAAAAAGTAAAGACTGAAAGAATACTCAATGCTGATGCAGATGCAGTGAAATAAACAGGAGCTCATATAAATCTGGTGATGACTGTATATTACAATTAAACAATATGTGTCAAGACCCTCGAAAATGTTCACATTTGTTGACTCAGAAATTCTACTTTTAAGAATTTACTCTATAGAAATAGGCCGGGTGCAGTGGCTCATGCCTATAATCCTAACACTTTGGGAGCTCAGGAGTTCGAGACCAGCCTGAGCAAGAGTGAGACCCCCATCTCTACTATAAATAGAAAGAAATTACCCAAACAACTAAAAATAGAAAAAATTAGCCAGGCATGGTGGCGCGTGCCTGTAGTCCCAGCTACCTGGGATGCTGAGGCAGGAGGATTGCTTGAGTCCAGGAGTTTGAGGTTGCTGGGAGCTAGGCTGATGCTATGGCACTCTAGCCCAGGCAACAGAGTGAGATTCTGTCTCAAAAAAAAAAAAAAGAATCTATTGTATAGAAATAGAGATGTGAATAAAGCTCTATGCATAAAGATGCTAATCATAAACTGGGGGATGGACACGCTTGAAGCTCTGACGGGGGGGGTGAGGGCAATATATGTAACCTTAATTTGTACCCCCATAATATGCTGGAAAAAAATCAAAAAATTAAAATTAAAAAAAAGATGTTGATTATAACACACATAATAGGGAAAACTGAAAATAATCTAAATTATCAACATTATAATAATTAAATAATACATCCATATGATAAAATATTATTTACTAAATTTTTTTTGAGACAGTCTCACTCTATTGCCTGGGCTAGAGCATCATGGTGTCAGCCTAGCTCACAGCAACCTCAGACTCGTGGGCTCAAGAAATCATCCTGCCTCAGCCTCCCGAGTAGCGGGACTACAGGCACTCACCACCATGCCTTGCTAATTTTTTGTTTCTATTTTTAGTTGGCTGGCTAATTTCTTTCTATTTTTAGTAGGGACAGGGTCTTGCTCTTGCTCAGGCATGTCTCGAACTACTGACCGCAAGAGATCCTCCTGCCTTAGCCTCCCAGAGTGCTATGATTACAGGCATGAGCCACCGTGCCCGGCCTACTAAAATTTTTTAAGACATAGAAAACATGTGCTGGCCGGGCGTGGTGGCTCACGCCTGTAATCCTAGCACTCTGGGAGGCCAAGGTGGGCGGATTGTTTAAGCTCAGTAGTTCGAGACCAGCCTGAGCAAGAGTGAGACCCTGTCTCTACTAAAATAGAAATAAATTAATTGGCCAACTAAAAATACATATAGAAAAAATTAGCCGGGCCTGGTGGTGCATGCCTGTACTCCCAGCTACCCGGGAGGCTGAGGCAGAAGGATTGCTTAAGCCCAGGAGTTTGAGGTTGCTGTGAGCTAGGCTGATGCCACGGCACTCTAGCCTGGGCAACAGAGTGAGACTCTGTCTCGAAAAAAAAAAAAAAGAAAAGAAAAGAAAAAAGAAAACATGTGCTATGTTAAATGAAAAAACATAATATATAATTACAAAAACAATATCGCAATTACATAAAAGGGCATGATAAACACTGGAAGAAATTTTCCACAGTGGTTATTTCAAGCTAGTGTGTTAGAAGATGGCTTTAACAAGAAAAGGAGAAGTAAGTATTTGCACCTCTCCTAGGTGTGTACTAGCATTAGCAGCTGCTCTAGAACCAAGCGATACTACATTTACTGCAAATAGGAACCACTCACTGTTTGTCTTACACTATTTCATCTTTCCCTTAGTTGACCTCACTTAAATTAAAATTTTGCAAGTCTTATTGAACTTGGTCTTCTACTTTACCCTATGGCCTCAAAGGAACATGGCTAGTGAAGTCAGGGGAGGGGTATTCTGCATTAATAGCTATATTTATTGAGTACCGAATATTTAAAATATGTCAGAAACTGTTCTTTTTTGCAGATTCTTTTACTTAACATCCTCATAATCCTACAAGTAAGGAAACTGAAGCTAGACAGGTAACCTGCCCAAGGTCACATAGCTAGGAGGTAATGAAGCCAGGATTCAAAGTTAAGGCAGCCTAGCTTCAGATGCTATCCTCTATACCACTATGTTCTACTGCCTTCAGTGGGTGGATTTTCTTCCTTATGCTTTTCTATACTTCCTCCTAATTCCCAATACCTATTATTAAAAGGGAGAGTGGACATTTACTCAGAAAAACAGAGGATACCAGGATAAGTTCCCTGTAGTGTATCTTGTAGGAGTTAGAAACCTTACCATGGTCTATGGGCCACGATTTATTTGCCTTGCACAATATCTATCTTTTCTGTGTCCATTCCCATCTATCAGTATGGCAGCAATGTAGCAGGCACTTCGTAGTTTTATTAATAGACAAATATTTGGTTAAATTAAATCAAACACTTACATGCAGAACTTACTCTTCTCCCCAGCTCTAGGAAAAAAAGACCTAAAGTAGAGCTATAAGCTCATAAAAGAAATAATTTAATTGAGGGTGGTTCAAATCACCTTGAGTTCTTGGAGTTGATCTGGTTCGTAAAGCTGGGTAGACACTGCCTGTGCAAGGAAGGTGTCTAGCTCATGGCGATGCAGGATTCGGCCACCTGGCCACTGAACCATATACCTAGAAAAATAAAAGCATTGTTATTAGGCGAAAAAAAGTACATTTATTCACGTCAAAAATACTTATTAGCTAAGAACCTATCATGAGCCATACTCTAGGCTAGGTTTTGGCAATTCCAACTGAATGAAATAAAAAGAATCTCTGTGTTGGTTACTTGCAGTCTGAGTGGTAGAGGAGACAGCCATGTACATTAACAATGACATGACAACATGTTAAGTACCAAGATAGAAGAACACACAGGGTGCTACAAGAGCACAGAAGAGGGCTACGACTGTAAGGGGTGAAGGAGCACATCCTGAAAAAAGTCAGCAGGAGCTAAGTTTCAAATGGCCCATAGAATTTAGTGAGGAAAGATGAGGAAAGGATATTTTAGGTTAAAGAAAGAGTATGTGTGAAGGAATGGAGCTATAGTTCAGCATGATGCACCAGATTCCAAATTGCTGAAGCTAAGCATGTTTGGAGTGTCAGGAGGTGAGATTAGAAAGTAGGCCAGATCATGAAGAGTCTCAAAACCAGGATTAAAGCATTTGGACCTTCACAATGCAATTGTAGGAAAACATTTAACCAGGAGAATGATATTGATTGGCTCAGAGACAAGGCATGGATACCAGTTGAGAGGTGACTACAACAACCTGTGGCCAAAGAAGAACTGAACAAAGGCTGAGGGGATGGAGGAGACCAGGGGACAAAGATCAGAATTATTAAGGAGATAAATCCATAGGATTTGGTCATGGAATTTATGGGAAGAGACTGAAGAAAAGGAAAGAGTCTAAGACTTAGAATTCTGGCTCGGGCAGAGGGTAGATGACATTGATGAGTACTTGAATTGAATGTCCATAAATTGAGTATGCCTTACTGTTCTAGATACTGAGAATGCAGAAAGAGGAAGGGGGAGAGAGAGATGAAAAAAATACATCCGTACAAAGTCTATGTCCTTAGCTCCCTGAAGGCCCACAAGACAATGAGCCCTTTGCCCAGTCTTTCATTTTTAATCTTTCCATCTTATTTTGTTGGCAAAATGTAAAGCAAAAATAGAAGAAAATAAATGCAATTACAGTAGGAGACTTTAATATACTACCATCAAGCTATGACATGTAAAATATACCTAAAATAACTTTAAAGTCATAGAACATTTGAATAATATTAATATAATAAATAAGGTTTAAATGCTTTATTGACTTTGTACAAAGAAAATATTCAATATATTCTTTTCAAGTGCCCATGTGAATTCCCATGAGGTTTACCTCACTTGTTTCCCCTTGTTTGTTGTCATTATTTCTTATTTATTATGAACTAGCTAGCATAGTACATGGCATAGAACAGGTGTCAGCAAATACTTGTTGGAAGAGTGATTGGATGCATCAATCAGGTCATGTCAAACAAAAAACAAAACAAAACAAAACTCAACAAAAATACATCCTCCAAAGTAGAATTGTACTGGTCACATTCTGACCACTGTGCAAGAAAACCTGACCTAAAGGAGCTCTTAAAAGAGTCAAGTGTGGGATACAGGCAAGCTACAGAAAGACTAATACAACCAACACAAGGGTGTGATTTTATGAGTTGAACACATTGTTAGGGGTGCTCTGAGAGAGCGACTGAATTTACCTGGGGGAATCACAAAAGGCGCCATAGAAGAGGGAACATTTAATATCCTAGGGCTTGAAGACTTTTGTTTGGCTTATACTTTAATGTTAATTTGTAATTTTAAATGTCACTCTTATCTTAATATAGTATGTAGCAGAGTGAGTGCTCAATAAATGTTTGCTAAACAAATGAGCCAAAGTCAGGACATGCAAAAGGAAATACTAGTGCTATCTTTGGACCAGCACTGCTATTCAACTAGTCTTGAATGAATTACGAGACAGAGTGTATGGTACAACGAGTCAGAGGAGCAAGAGGCTCAGAAATGGGGCAGCAGAAAATAATAATTACTAAATCAACCAATATTTAGTGATGCTTATCATGTGTAATTTTTGGAATTATATAACTCCAGTGTGGATTTTCTCTGGAAAAACTATAGTGTTACTTATTTCCCAAGGAATTTCCTCAATCTCAATGACAATATAACATTTTTATTATTACTATTAGTAGCAGTTATATTATTATACATACTATATATGAGCATTATATATTCTATTATAATCTATGCAGCAAACTATAAGTTATACACATGAATAACATTTACTAAAGGCCTCTGATATTTTAGACACCTTGCTATGAACTTTATATACATAGAATGTAGTGACAAAGAATACAAACCTGGAGGCTGACATCCTTGGTTCTAATCTAGGTTCCACTACTCCTTTTCTATGTGACTCTGGGCAATTGCTTTAACCTCTAGGGGATTTAGTTTGCTTATATCTAGAATGGGGATGATACTAACTACATCTCAAAAGGCAAGTAAAATAAATAAAGAAGAGAAAACACATAAAAGCACTCAGCAGGCACTCTTGGTTACCATTTAAAACTGAACCAATTATAGTATAATCCTTCCTTTAAGATTTGGTGAAGCCCTCATTTTATCATGTGTTGAATGCTCATACATACAAAGGTCTGTTTCTACCCTATATTCCCTATGTTTATTTCTCACACCAGTACCATACTGACTTAAATTTTAAATATGCTTTAATATTTGGTAGTCTCCCTTTTATTCCACATCTTTTTTTTTTTTGAACAGAGTTCACTTGTTGCCCAGGCTAGAGTGAGTGCCATGCCATCAGCCTAGCTCACAGCAACCTCAAACTCCTGGGCTCAAGCAATCCTACTGCCTCCACCTCCCGAGTAGCTGGGACTATAGGCATGCACCACCATACTGCTAATTTTCTAATATTTTTAGTAGGTAATTAATTCTTTCTATTTATAGTAGAAGAAGGTCTCACTCTTGCTCAGGCTGTTTTCGAACTCCTGACCTCGAGCAATCCACCTGCCCAACCTCCCAGAGTGCATAGGATTACAGGCAGGAGCCATCGCGCCCCGCCACATCTTTTAATTTTAAGTAACATTTATAAATTATGCTATATATGAAAGCATATTACAAAAGTTCAAGTTTCATTGCATTCATAAAAATGCTAAGAAAGCAAAAAACGTGTAAAGAAATGAAAATAAAAAATGAAATAATTTAAAATCTTACTATTCAGATAGAACCACTGTAAAGATTGTTATGATTTTGGCTTCTTCCTAGCAACTCAATTCTCAATTTTCTCTTTAATACCATATGCAGGACATTGTAACTCTTTTCTTTCTTTATTCTTTTTTCTTTTTCTTGAGACAGGGTCTCACTCTGTTGCTTGGGCTACATAGTGTGCAGTACCGTCATAACTCACTGCAACCTCAAATTTCTGGGCTCAAGCGATTCTCCTCCCTCAGTTTCCTGAGTAGCAGGGACCAATAGGCGCATGTTACCATACCTGGCTAATATTTTCTATTTGGGTAGAGACGAGGTATCCCTCTTGCTCAGGCTTGTCTCAAACTCCTAACCAACCTCAAGCGATCTTTCTGCCTTGGTCTACCAGAGTGCTAGGATTATAGGTATGAGCCACTGTGCCGGCCCAAAAACATGATTTTAATGACTGCATGTTCATTATGTGGATATATTATAATTTAAACATTCCTATAATTTACTATTTTTTTTTTTTTTTGAGACAGAGTCTCACTTTGTTGCCCAGGCTAGAGTGAGTGCCGTGGCGTCAGCCTGGCTCACAGCAACCTCAATCTCCGGGGCTCAGCGATCCTACTGCCTCAGCCTCCCGAGTAGCTGGGACTACAGGCATGCGCCACCATGCCCGGCTAATTTTTTGTATATATATATTTTAGTTGGTCAATTAATTCTATTTTTGGTAGAGACGGGGTCTCGCTCAGCCTGGTTTCGAACTCCTGAACTTGAGCGATCCGCCCGCTCGGCCTCCCCAAAGTGCTAGGATTACGGCGTGAGCCACCGCGCCCGGCCTTATAATTTACTATTTATATCTTTTCTTTCATTATAAATAATACTACAAAGATAGTCACATATTAAATCTTGCCTATATCTGATCATTCATTCCCTTCGGATAGATTCTTAGAAGTGGACTCATTAGGTCAGTTAGATGTCCATTTTGAATGTCCTTAATACACATAGCAAAATTGTTTTACAGACTAGTTTCCAGACCCAATTTACACCCTATTTCCCAGCAGTATGTCAGCATGAATTGTTATTGTTAATATTTGATGATTTAATGGCCAAAATATGCCTCATATTTAAATGTTCCTTTTTTCTTTCTTTTCTTTTTTTTTTTTTTTTTTTGAGATGTGATCTCACTCTGTTGCCTGGGCTAGAGTACAGTGGCATCTTCATAGCTCAAACTCCTGGGCTCAAGCACTCCTCTTGCCTCAGCCTCTCGAGTAGCTGGGCCTATAGGCATACGCCACCATGCCCGGCTAATTTTTCTATTTTTTTTTTTTGTAGAGATGGAATCATCTCTACATCATGCTATGTTGCTCAGGCTGATCTCAAACTCCTGGCCCCAGGCAATCCTCTCACCTCAGCTTCCCAGAGTGCTAAGATTACAAGCATGACCTATCACGCTAGGCGTAAATTTGTTTCCTTGATTACTAAGGGTGAAGATGCAAATTTTTCCAAACACTCACTTACTTCTATGACTAGTCTATGTCTATCATAGACATATTAGTTAATTTGTCTGTTCTGTCTATACCTCTTTCTAAGATAATATAAAGCCCTATCTTTATTTTATTTTTTTATTTTATCTATTTATTTTTTTTGAGACAGAGTCTCACTCACTCTGTTGCATGGGCTAGAGTGCCGTGGCATCAGCCTAGCTCACAGCAACCTCAAACTCCTAGGCTCAAGCAATCCTCCTGCCTCAGCCTCCCATGTAGCTGGGGCTACAGGCATGAGCCACCATGCCCAGCAATATTTTTCTATATATTTTAGTTGGCCAATTAATTTCTTTCTATTTTTAGTAGAGACGGGGGTCTCGTTCTTGCTAAGGTTGGTTTCGAAC